GTGATAGCATAGGGTAGAATAACTGAATGGTTAATTTTGAGTGACAGTAATGGGCAACTGGATGTAGGAGGTTATATTAGAGCCAATAATATATGAGAAAAGAACTATCTAAGCAGAAGAATACAAGGGCCCAGAAAGTTTCACACATTCAAGGGGCAGAGAAACCAGTGAGCGTAGAGAGAAGTCACACAGGAGGGGAGTGAAAACCTGTGATATCAGAGCAGGATTTTATTCTAATTGCAATGGGAAACCATTGGGAATTGCATTTACAACTTGATCATTCATGCACCCCTTTATTTTCTATTGGGTCTCTCATTATATGTACTGTTTTTTTTTTTCTTTCTATTAAAACTCCTTGTTTGCATTTCTTTCAATGTAGATCTGTCGTAACAAATTCTCTGGGTTTTTTTCTGAAAATATTTTCTTTATTGTATCTTTAATTTTTATTTTATTTTATTTTTTTACTACATGTATAGAATTCTAGGTCTATTGTTTATTTGTTTTGGAACTTTGAAATATTACTTAATTGTCTTCTGATTTATGTAGTTTCTGTTATGAAGATACTTGACAGTTTTATTTTTATTACTTTGAAGGTAATTTGTCTTTTTTTCCCCCGGCCATTGGTTTTTGGTAGTTTTTACTATTATTTGGTGAAGTGTGATTTTCTTCTTGTTATTTATATTGTTTCTTAAATCAGCAACTTGAATTACTTTTAGAAAATTCTTGAACTTTACTTTCAAATTTTGCTTCTGCCTTGATTTTTTTTCTTCTTTTCTATAACTCTAATTGTACCCATGCTAGACAGTTTTAAGGCCCATGGTTCTCTCCTGCTGTTTTTCTGTATTTTCCATCCTGTTTTTTCTTTTTGTTTCAGTCTAGATATTTTAACTTTAATGCTAGAAATTGTGCATAAAAAATTAGAGAAGCTTTGGATGATAATTTTTCTCTAGAGAAGGTTTTGATTGGCTTATGGCAGACAATAAAATAGTAGTACATCAGTTAAATCTAACAAGGAATTAAGTGCAGTTGAATCTGGGTTTTAATCTTTGTAAAGTCTGGTCTCTATTTCTGGTTTGCCCTTACTTTAAAATACACCCCAGTGAAAGCCCGGGAGATTTCCTATTATCTCAAAATCAAAAAGGACACTTAACTTTTTCTTTCTCCCTCATGTAATTTGATGAGAGCAATGCTTAGTTTTTCCAGTCTCTTAGGAGCCATCTTATAATTAGTCTGCCTCTCAAACGGTGGTAGGTAGTTAGACAGACATGAGCAGAGCAAGGATGATGGTAGGTATAGAAGGGTCACCAGGGCAGAAAGCAATAAGCAAAACTGGGAAAACAAGGTCCTCGTCCCCAGGGTTACCTTTCTTTTCCCGGCACGTTGCAAGTCATGCACGTTAGACTCCCTTAGAGAAGTCTGGAGAATAGCCGTTAAGCATTAAGTCCCTGACCTGCATCAAATACAGCTAGGCCTCAGTTGCATTTCAGCTCCAGGCCTAGGAAAGCAGCAAAACCAGAGAAGCACACCATGGCTGACATCAGGACCAGCTGCACTGACTAACAACTCCCTGTCCTGGTGCCAACCAATTAATAAAGACCATGGCCCTGAAAGGACATATCTGGAAAGCTGATGAATATTCTTTTTGGATCCTCCTCTGACACCTCAAGATAAATACCCTCAAGACAACGGACCCAGTGCAGAGCTCCCTCTGGGAGCAGCCCACGCCTTTTCCCTCTCCCTCTTCTTCCCCTCAGGCGAATTATCACTATCTTTCTCTCTCCTGAGCTCCAAGGGCCCTTCTTTTGCTTTTGTGTCTTGTTTCCTGAGCCCAATTCCACCCAAGGTTCACTTCTTCTACCTCTTCGATTTTCTAAATAAACTTTTGCTGGTATTTGAGTCTTAACTCTGAATTCTTTCTTAGCCAGAACTCAAGTACCAAGGTTGTTGAACTGAGGTCCAACTGCCAGTAACATTCTGGTGTTGTTCTTGCCACCAACAAAAACAAGCTGTTTATGGAATGTTCAATGGATTGTAATGAAATTGGCTCAGATTTTTTTTTCTTTACTTCCATTTTCTCTATAATCTTTTCCTATCAAATTTTGGTGTTTTAGTAGTCTTAAACTCCAATTCCCAATCCCTCACCCATGTAATACTTTAATCTGTTTTATTCTATTTCTCTGTAACTTAGTAGCCATGTTATGCTCAGTTTCTCAGCATCTCTGGGAATTTAAAAATTTATCTCAATAGGAAAGTAGAAAAAGCCCCACACTCATTTTAGTGAGCTTTGCTTTTCTCCAGCATCTTAGTCCCCCAAATTCTGATGGTCTGCATAGCTTTCCTATCCTATGCCATCAATGAGAATGAGATTTTTTTTTTTGCATCTGATCAAGCTTTTTTAGTTTTATTTTTCTTTATCTCTCCCATCCCTTCTTTTTTCCTTCCCACCTCTTCCTTCTTCCATTTCTCCCTTTTTCTCTTTTTCTTTCTTTCTTTTTCTTCCTTCCTCCTTCCCTTTTTCTCCCCCACCCCCACCTTCCCAACAAAACCAGAAGCTACTTGGTAATTTTTGTTATGAAACATATTCTATTTTAAATGTTTTTTTCTTTGTTTTAGAATTTTCACTTTTCTCCCTTTAATGCCCCTGTTTTCAGAGCCTTTCTGCATCAGTTAACATTTCCTTTATAACAAAGAACCTCTACATTAGTGGATTAAAACAACTATTTATCTCACAATAATGTAGGTTGACAACTTGAACTTGGCTCAGCTGAGCAGTTTTGTTGCTCTGAGTCAGCTTTGGCTAATCTTGTATGGGGCTCACTCAAGTATCTCTTGCTGGCTGATTGAAGTGTTTTGGTTTTTCTCTCTGCAGTCTCTCATCTACCAGCAGGTCATTCTTATGCTTTTTTATGAGATGGCAGGATTCCATGCACAGAAGCAGACGCACACATTCAAAAACCTCTTCAGAAATCACACAGTACTGATTCTCCTCCATTGTTTTGACAAAGGAGATCACAAAGCCAGCCCATATGCAAGGTATGAAGAAATAGGCTCCATCTCTTGTTGAGAGAAGCTACAAAGAATTGTGGTCATATTTTTTTTAAATTTTATTTATTTATTTTTAGAGAGGGGAAGGGAGAAAGAGAGGGAGAGAAACATCAATGTACGGTTGCCTCTTGCACACCCCTAACTGGAGACCAGGCCTGCAACCCAGGCATGTGCCCTGACTGGGAATCAAACCAGTGACCCTTCGGTTCACAGCCTGGTGCTCAATCTGCTGAGCCACATCAACCAGGGCTGTGGTCGTATTTTTAGTCTATAACACTTGCTAAAGTCATCTCAAATTCTAATATTTAAGTCTCTTGGATTTTTGTATTTTAATAGTTGCTTCCACTGCAAATAATGATAGTTGTTTTTCTTTTCCAATTTTTATATTGCCATTTCCTTTCATTGCCTGATTGCACTGAATAGACTACCCAGTATGATTTCCAGTGAAAGCAGTCGGTGTTGCCATGAGAACCCTAGAGGAAGAACTCAATATTTGCAAGAGCTATATGGTTGTAACTGTCCCACCCCTTGTTTTCTTTCCCCTTCTAAAGGTTCCTTCTCCATCTCTGTCTGAGGGCAGTGTGTGCACGTTGCCCACCTTGTCTGCATGCTCTGGATTGCAATCCTTCATTTTTCCTGCATAAATCATTTTGGGGGATGGAATACCTAGTCATTTGTTTTCCAGTTGACACTGGGTTGTATCATCATTCCATGTTTGGCTCTTTAGTTCTCTTCTAATACTTTCATAACCAGTAGATTTCTTCAGGTTCTGTTGCTGCTTTCCCTACCCAACCTTAATCAATATACATCTGCACTAATATCTACAGAGAACACACTATATTAAAGTGTGTATATAAATTTTGCCCCCAAAATTGTTCATAATTAAATTTGTTGAATGAGTAAATATATGTGTAGAAGTGTTACCTGAAAGGATATTTTAATGTTTCAAAGTTAAACTTACACATTCCTATTAAAATTTAATGTAATTATATACTGATGATAAAGTTTTAGTAAGAGGAATTAGAAGTGGTGCTAATAAGTTTGAATGGAACTATAGGATTAAAATGATAACATAGTCAGAAGTTCAGAAATGAAGGATGCCTAGAGGCAATGATTGCAGTCAAGATGATAATAATTAGCTTTTGAACCCTTTTCACTTTGACCAACAGTAAGAAATATATTTTACATTAAGAATGAGCACAATCATATATGCATGAGATGCCTGCTGCATTTCCTATTCATTTTCTTCTCTTTTCTTCTATCATTTCCTATCCAATATAACACATACTACTTGAAAAACATGGATCTAGACATACTATAAGAACCATGATAGTCTCTGAAAATTTAAGATTAAGGCGTAACTCATCCTTTGTTCACTTTTTGTCTCCCTCTGCAGAGGTTATCTCGTTTTTCCTAGCTCAGCCTATATTCACATATTTTCTGGTAGTGGCAGCATAATTTTCCTTTTAGAATTACTCCTCCCCTTTTTTTTGGTCCATAAGATTCAGGTCAATATCCTGCCCACGTGTCGTGTTCCCCAACACCTTCCAATTCTAACAGCTCTAGGGGAGGCATGTCATTCGATTCTGGTCAAGCAGAGTAGTCATCTCTGACTACAAGCAATGTCTCAGGAATAGTCACATAAGCTAAGAAAGGCAAATGAGCTCTGGTCCCAGAAACGAGTTCTTGTTTTGTCACATTGAAGCTGGTGGGAATCAGGCTCCGGATTCTGGAAGCATCACATGGAGAAAGCCAGCTAGGAGCGGAGCCAACAAGAGCACAGAGACGGAGGACTGATGACAACGTTTGTGACTTCGGACCCCGTCACCTCTCCCCGTGCACTGGGAAATATGCCCTTTGAAATTCTAATGTAAGAAAAAAGCTACCCATCAAATGGTATTTAGTTTGTGAAAGGATTTAAATTTTATTAAAAATGTACATTTTCAGACCTCTTCAGTGTCCTCCATTTATGAACAAATAGAGCACAGACAGAAATCATTACATAACCACTTGTATATTAAATGGCACTACAAGTATCTAAAATTATTTTTCTATGGAAAAAATGAGTTTGTTGGACATTTCAATGTCTTTGTCAAATCTCAACCTTTTTTCAGTGTCCACACATCTTTGGTTTTGCTGCTCTGCAAGCCCTTCTTCATTTATTAGGAAAAATACATACTTATTCACATTAGAATTTTCACTGAAAAATACAATTAAGGACACTAAGCTCCTCCCCCCACTTAATATTTATTTTTTCTCAACCAGTACATAGAGATATCACATAACATTATGGATTTATTTAAAGTTATTTATAGAAGATAAATTTTAATGTAAAACAACTTTTAAAAATATATCACAGTTTTTAGTTCTACTCAGTTTTAAACATCTGCGTAGTTTATTGATTTGAACAAAAAAAGTATAAAGTATACTGAAGGCTACAAATAAAAAGAATTAGCCATAAATGAAAAACCTAACCTACGGTTTTGAACATTACAGTGGGAAAATATATACAATAAGTGATACACCACATACAGTACCCATTATCATTCATTAATTGGTGATTGCCCCAATGCACAAACAAGTTTGTGACTGGTTATACAATTTTTCTCTATTAGACATTCATTGATGTTCATTTCTTGGTGTGTTTTTTAAAATACATTATGTAACAATGTAGACAACAGTTACTCATTAAAATTCCTTCTTAAAGGTAGAGCAATCTGTTCTCTATGGCAGAATTAAAACAGAGCAACATCTGGCAAAACTCCAACATCTCTAGGAAATATTTATTAATCTCACATGGATGGAATTTTGTTTCAAGCTGGGAGCTCTAAAGTTAGCAGACTGAACCACTTATACAATATTTCTATTTTGTATTTTATATAAGTGATAAGAAAAATGGTTGAACAGAAATTTTGTGCTTTTGCTATTTAATTAATATTTGCATTAATTATTGCTTGCAAACAGGGTTGCCCAAAGCAGGTGCTTTTAATGATTGTATCTTAACATACATGACAGAGAAAACAGAAAAAAAAAATTCACAGTTATTTTTACCTCTTGTGATTATGGCTTTGAACATGTTCAGGCTGTGAAAAAAATTGGTTTCTTTTCCTTTGCAGCTATAGATAGAACATTAAATAATTTCTGGAGGTTAGAAAAAATAAGTTTCATTGAAAGGTAGGCACTTTTGAAGTTGGTACAAAGAATCTGAAAAAAATTAACATTTGTATTTTTTTCCTTAATGAGCGTATCTTAAACATAAATTTGAGGAGCAATAACTATCCTTTTTGCTGTAACTGTTAAAAAATTTCATTCCTGAGATTTTTGGAATCAATTAAAATTCTTAAAGTAAGCAAAGAGGAAAGAAATGTTCTTCCCAGACGGGAAGCTGAACTGTGGATCAACATCTCAGCCAGTTACTTTCTGTCATTTTTCCATACATCAGATTTTTAATTTAGGATATATGCACACTGTAATTTATTCCTTATCTACTGACCCCAAAATATGCCACACTTTTAAAGAGCTGAAATGTTCAGCTGAAAGATGGTATATAAATAAAAGTTATTGGTACTAAAGATTTGCCATTGAAAGTAACCTCACTCTTTTAAAATGCTAATATTGAAACAAAAAGAGGTTTTTTCTTACATCTGGTTTGATTTAAATAACACTTCAAGTATCTCCTTTAAAATGATGTTCTGAGAAACATGAATATTTATGAATCGCAAATTTAAATACATTTTCCGAAAAGCAGAATATTCCTTGAATATCCTTTGTTTTAAGGATCAAAATCTAGCTTTGGTCCACATCTTATTTTTGACAGTTCCATTTTTTTAATCTGTATACTTGACTAATTATGTAGGAAAAAATTAACATCAAATGCATGAAGGCAAGAGTCAAATAATAACATTTCACTTTTAAAAAACTATATTCAAATGAAGATATGGTCTGAGTATAAGTCATTTGTGCTTATTTTCAGTGATGGCTGATACAGAAGATGTTCACTGAGGTTTTACATGCAATGGGGGTGTATCATAGTCTTGAAAATGAATTCCCTTAGAAGTTGTGATCTTCATAATAGCGCCATTTAAAGCATCATCTTCAATGAGTATTATTAATCCACTGGCAATCATTGCTGGGCTAAAAGTAAAGAAAACACTGGTGTTTTAAAACAAAAGATTAAGGCCTAATTTTCACTTCATTTTTGAGTTGCTTCTGAATAATCTACTACTTTTAATGTGTAATAGGGAAATTTATATTGGAAGCTATTGTCACCTCCATTCTTTTTATTCAATTAGATACCAACTGAATTATGTGGTAGAGTCCCATGCTTAACCTTCTGACATGTTGACAGGAAGGATTTATGAATTTATATTTATTATTCACATTGACAAAATTATTATTTTTCATCTTTATCCTATCAGTGTATCTTAGACTTATCAGATAGAATTATTATTAGCATAGAAATAGGAAGAGTTATGGCTAACATTTATTGAATGTCTGTTATTGATTTGTTGCTGTTTTAATCATCTTATGTATCAACTTATTTGTGGACTTTCAAAAGTCCCCTAAGATTGTTTTAGTATTAGCCCCCTTTTACATGTGAGAAAACTGAGCTGGATGGAAAAGTTCATGGTCAGAAGTGGAGCCAGGGTTTGATATCAGATGGTCTGATTCCATCAGCATGACAGCTACGACTTTGTACTGTGAAACTTCAGCTGCTCTGACTCAGACACATTCACCACACATGTGTTGCTCCAATGTTTATTATGAAAATATTTGAAGTTAGGGGGCCATATGAAATTTCACAAAGAGTATATGTAAATATTGCTTGGAATTTAGGCAGATAAGGAACCACTGCTTCTAAAGATAACAAAATATCACCTTTTTAAACAGTATCTGATTATGGTTGAAGGCATTAGTGATGCATTGTCTATATCTTCAAGCAAAATTCATAATGTATAAACATATTCTATTCAGAAACCCAGGAAAAATGTTTTCTGTTAAGAGTTTGCTGAACCAAAACTTGGAAGCCTGCATTTGTTTCTCAAGTTTAAAACCTTATTTTTTCCCTTTTATTGCGTATGTGTAGATAGTACTTTGCTCCATTATATAAAAAAGGTAGGTATAGTTTTACTTACTCCAAAACCCCATAGAATTTCATCATATCCTTGATGTGATCCTTGTATTCTATATATTGTCCCATGTTTTCTTCTTTTTCAATGGTTTCAAGGATGGGCGTATTAACAAAGCCTGGGCAAATGGCATTTATTCTCACACCACTTTTCATAAGATTAGCAGCCATCTGCCAATTGGAAATAGAAGGTTGCAGGTTTGGGTAGTTTTATAAATGCAGAGCATAGGACAAACATAATTAAAGCTATTCAAAAGACTCTGATGGTAAAAATACTAATCAGATATCCTTCTGGCCTTATAATAATGACATTATTAAAGTTGGCTGGTAGCAGAAAGTAAAAGAATTTGTATCGAAAGTGCTGAATTAATTCCTGAAAGCCTCACCTAATTAATTTTTTAAAAATCAATATTACTAGACAACTCCTGGAAATAATTATCTCAGGTGCTCTTATCTTCTGAACTCTATGGGAACCTGAAGGTAAGAAACTGAGGCTTAAAATTAATATCGCAAGTTTTCTTTCAATAATTAGGGTTGTATAAGAGAATATTTGCTTAAAAGATATTGTTAATTGAAAGTCTGGGTCCTTGGTTGTAAAGATACTCTTAATTACCTGGAAGACAATTTAAGTATTTTCAGATTAACAATCTTTGGCTTAATTTTCAACCTATTGATTTTATTTGAACTATTTGTAAAACAGAATGTAGTTGATTATTTGAAGATTCTCTTTGTTTACTTACAAAAATTTATTTGTAACCCCCCAAAATCAACACTCGTGGGGCTTTGGGGTCGTCTGTGGACAGGCACAGAGCAGTGAGAAATCTGAGTTGCCCATTGCTGATGTTCCAGCTGCGGTCAAACAAAATAACACTCTGTTTTCTTGTTTCAGCTCTTCTAACTATAAACAAGTGTTTTATACAAGTCCTTTTCACGGCGTATTTAGTCCATGTTTTTCTCATTTTTATGCTTTTTGTTTGTGATTTTGCTATTTAAAATGTCCCCCGTCCCCAAGCATAGTGTTGAAATGCTGTCCAGTGTTCCTAAGAAGACTGTGATGTGCTTTAGAGAGAAAATACATATGTTAGAAAAGTTTCACTTGAGCCTGAGATATAAGTGCTGTTGGCCATGAGTTTGACGTCAATACAATACATATTAAATAAGGTATCATTAAACAGAAACTCAAGTAAAACTTTAAACAGAAATTCATATATGTATTGATTGATCAGAATGTTGTGGCCAAAGGCTCAAAGGAACTTCTGTAATTCAGTGTTTGCTAGTGATTTCATCAAATGTAAGTACCAGAAATAAGAATTGATTGTACAAGTTTCCAGTCTTGTAATTGTAAATAGGAGGTTTCTGGTCTTTGAGATTTATTTTGCTTTTTAATACCTTTATATATTCATTAATTACTGAATTTAAGATTAAGCCTTTGCAAATTAAATTAAAATTTCCAATCAATTTAAGTTCAGACTGTGAGAGTTGCTTATCTTCCTTTTTAGATCGACGTTCACTGGTCACAACTCCGTTTTCTTTATCCCTAGTATTTCTTGTGTTAATATTTTTCTCTGCGTCTGTCTGTCCTCTCTCTCTGTCTCATCTAGACTAACCACTGCAGAGACCTCCCAATGTCCTCAGCTCTTCTATACCTGTACTCTCAACACATTCTCTAAGTAGCAGCCAGAAAGGTCTTGCTGAAGTGGAAATCCGAGCTTGCCACTCCTGTGTGTAAAAAAACCCATAGATGGTTTCACTCTGAATAAAATCTAAGCTCATTACTACAACCCCTAAACTCCTCTTGGTCTGGCTCCTACTGGCATCTTCAGTCAGTTCTGCTCCTCCTCTCCTCTTGCTCATACAGCTTCATTCAAGCTACCTTTGTTATTTCTCCCATTTATGATGAAAAGGCAAGCAGTCCCATTTTTATGTTGCAGGAGGTCAATTAGGTTTAAAATGTTTTTAGACCTAATTTTTCTGTACACTTTTCATGCTAGGCCTCTAGAGGGACGCCATCCTTCCTTGGCTGCTCTCCCAAGCGAATTGCTGCCCCACCCCTTGCCCCTGCCTCCATGCTCCCACTTATTCGCATCACGTCTCCGGTGACCGGTAATGAATGGCTGGAGCACACTGACCATTCTGCTTAAGGGAGGCTGAAGCTAATACTTTTTAGATTTGGAGTCAATTTTAAAAATTAAAGACTTTCTTCCCATTTTTTAGCCTGAGGATATTATTCAATAACACATCTGCATCTGGAATCTACTTCATTTTAAAATTATCTATTCTTTATTGGTCCTTTTCTATGTGACCTGAAACTATTTTTTATACTAAAGATGGAAGTGTAATAGTTTTCTGTCTTTTACTCAGATGTATTGAATTCTGAACTTATTCCTCTTGACTAGATAGAGTTCATGCTACAGACATGAATACAGACACAGAGAGAAAAAGAGATATTGTGGTGGTTGTATTCTCACCGCTGCTGAGCGCGTGAATCCAACTATGCCATGCTTTGAAGCAGAATAAACAGGCTGCTGGGCAGCTGGCATGAGTCCTAAAACACACACAAAATAGAAACAATTTTATTGGGCAAGAAGCAGACAAAACCCAATAATGCAAATGAATTATTTTTGCCTGTTCATATTAAAATTAATCTATAATATACACTCAAATAATCACCAGACAACTTTATAAAACTCACTAGTCTTAGCATAGATTATGCCTTCTATGATCTCGATCTACTGCCCTGTCCAGAATTCATGGTAGGTAAGTTACAGCCTAGAGAGGCAGCCAAGAATGAGATGTGAGTTTTTCTGCTTCTGTGACTTTCTGTCTGGAGAAGTCAATGCTATCTAAAACATAAAGAGAATCATCTTTAAATCCAGCCAGTGACCATCTAATTTTCAGTTTTCAAGTCTAGATTTTTAAGAGTATATATTCTACATTTTTAAAGACTCCCAAGCGGCTGAAGAGGTTTAAATTGCTTGAATGGAATTGAGAGATTATTGTTTGTCTTCATTATAAATTAGTATGCATTTCCCTGTCAACAATCACACCTCTAAGTGTGTAGGAAAATTAGAAGTTAACTTTTTTCCATTTTGATCTATAGTAATGCCTAGATCTTCTCACCCTGTGACCTCAGAAAAGAAAACCAGAAATAAAATCTATGGTCCTCTTTTATTTCTTTTCATAATCATGTGCTCAACAACAGAAATCAAGCAATGTTAGAATTTATTTAATTTTATACATATACACAATAGTAAGTAATTAAAAATATGATTAATTTCATGGTCTGGGGAAAAAAAGCAGTATTGTAGCATTATAGCATCTTTTCTCCCCTTACCCAATTCCCTCCACCCCTGCCCCCATAAAACAACAAGGAAAAGCCATTTACCATAGTAACTATTGCAATCAAGCTTATTTCTCATAATTGTCAATTCTCCATCTAATCAACAGTAAGATTTTTAACTAGAGTCATTTATATATTTTGCTTTTTAACTAATGCCTTGAAGTAACTAATTTTCACAGTTTGTGAAATTCGTGATTTCTGAGTCAAGAAATAGTGATTCCTGATTACTGTTGTTACTATCAAATGTCACGCGAGTAATACTCAACTATTCTGCTGAGGCACGCTCATCTCCACCCAGCTAACCAGTCCCAGAACACCACCAATCAGCGTGCGATGCCAAAGTTCAGCCACAAAGGCAAACCTTAACCACTCCCTGGGTGCCTGCCAGGTCTCAATTTATAAACTATGTTTTCTCAAGGGCAGTTTAAATGCTGAGAATGATTTCACGCATTGTGTGTCCACCCAGTGATCTCAAAGTACTGTAACAGTTGGTTCTCATCTTGTTTTGTTTTGTTTTGAAGTTAATTCAAATGTGCAATTCAATTAAGTTTGGCAATATCAGTCAACAAGAAGTCATGATGCATGCACAGGGTACGCGGTTGTATTAGGAGTTGAGATAAAGGCAATAAATAGTTGCACCAGGCACTGCTGCTTCTTATTCCCTGAAGTTACTTGCTGTTTTACCCTCTCCTTAAATGTTTCTCAGGCAAAGGCAGCGTGGTTGTAGGATGGTGTTCACCAACGGCAGGAAATGCACAGTGAACCTTCATCAGAGATAAGCTAGTCAACCAGGCTGCTGTTCATAAATGTTGTCAAGGATGAATTTGGAATGAATTTTTGTTATGCATGTTGAGGTACTGAACTTCTGAACCCAAGCCAGTTCAAACTGTCACAGGAGTGTAATAAATCAAATACTGTTATATTGTTTCTCTTTAAGAAGCCAACACAAGACATATACTTTCCTTTAAAGGTAGGGTTGAAAAAGCAACCAGAACGTGAGGAATTTGCATTTTTAAAGTGGCACTTGGCTTTATGAATCTTGTTGTAAAGTTCTGATAACATTTTCACTGCTTTCCTGCCACGTGTTTACTCTTGCATTGTTTCACTTTCTGATATTAGATCAAAAGCTGCATAAATTAATTTTAAACATGCAGAAATTGAGATACATACAATAAAAGTTTTGACATATGTGTACACCCCTGAAAACACAACCACAATTAGGACAATAAACGGGTCTGTCCCCTTAAGCTTCCCCAGGTCCCTTTGTCGTCCCTCCCTTTCACCTCCCCCCCCCCCCCCGCCCCCCGCCCCAGGCTACCACTGATCTGCTGTTTTGTGTCACAATAGATTAGTTTGCCTTTTCTGGAAGTTTATATAAATGTAATCATACAATACCAACTCTTTTTTTGTCTGACTTCTTTCATTCAGAATAATTATTTTAAGATTCATATGGTAGTGTGTATCGATAGCTCATTTTTCTTTTTTTTTTTTCATGAATACTATTTCACTGTAAGATTAAACTCATCAATTGTATATACATTCACCTGTTGATAGATATGTGGGTTCTTTACAGGTAGGGGTATTAGAAATAAAAAAATTTATTTTTCAACTATTTTTATTTAGGGAAGTTGGAATTAATTTAAATAAAGAACTTTTATCTCACAGTACCCGTAGAATTTTAACTGTTGCTTCTTATGTTTCCAACAGGTAGGATGGGTTAGTGATCTGCAGTGTTTTTTCCCAACTTGCCAGCTGACTTTCTTTTTTCTCTTTTTCCCAATCATCTCTGAACTTTTCATTGGCCTCCTGCCCCACTAAGGGGTGCCCCACTCCTGCGACCTTAACGCCTCAGAGCTTTGGTGTCACTGACCTCAGACACCACTTTGGTGTCCACTTTGGATGGATTGTATAGAGTTGTTGTTGTCCAGAGCATCACCAAGATTGAAGTCCTCCCCTTCTCCCCGCAGGCAATGGTAGGCGGCAATCTCCTTGATGTTCAGCAGGGCCCTGTCCTCCTGGGCCTGGCGCTGCCCCTCTGCCCCTGGCTGGGTCAGCTCTGTCTCCAGGTGCAGCGGGGTCCCATTGAGCTCTTCCATCTGCACGGCATCGCGCGTCTGCACTGCCCTCAGGCTGTTCTCTAAACTGGCCTGCAGATTCCTCATTGAGTCCAGGTTGATTTCTAAGGACTGGACCATATGTCTCAGCTCCATGAGTGTCATCTCAGTGGCTTCTATCTCAGCTGTCACTGTGGTGATTTCCTCAGTCTGCTGGGACCAGTGTTTGTCTAGATCCTCTCAGTTCTTTTGAGCCAGTTCATCATACTGGGCCAGATGTCTGCCATGATCTTGCTGAGGTGCTGAGATTTGGGGGCATCCAACTCCACTGTCAACCCAGCATTGGCAGTCTGGTTTTAGAGACCATTTATTTCCTCCTCATGGTTCTTTATGAAGAGCAGCTCCTTTCAGAGCCTCAGTCTCTCTCCAGCTGCAGCTGAGTGATAATGGGTGTCTTTCAGAGCTCGCTGATGTTACTCAGCACAGAATGGCACATCGCCAGCTCTGTCTCATACTTAACTCTGAAGTCATCAGCAGCAAGATAGGCCTTGTCAACCAGCAGAACGGTGTGGACACTGTCCACAGAACTTGCAAAGATCTGGGCCCTCAGGTCATCGGTGGTCTTGAAATAATGCCCTCACTTAAAATCTTGCATACTGTTTGGTCTTTATGAATGTTGAAATTGTGTGTTGAATGTAAAAATATGGGCTTTATATTATTCTCTTATGTCATTTCATAGTAATTATTACTTATGAAGAAATTGTTATCTTGGAAATATATCTTAGAAAGAAGCAAAGTTTTTAATCAATTGCATTATAATCAAATCTATAACCATGCCATTTTAAATTTTGTCATTTGTAAACAGTCATTGTTTTACTCTAAAAAGAAAACAAAAGAAAAGAAAAGAAAAGAAAAGAAAAAGAAAAAGAAATAATGCCCTCAGTCTCTGACCTGAGGTCCTTTCTTTTCCAGGTGTTCCAAGATTTTGCTCTCCTCCTATTATCAGCCTCTCACCCTCGGCAGGTAGGAGGCCAGGTGGACATTCAGGCATTGCACAGTCTCCTTCTTGCTCTGGGTGCCCCTATGCCCTCCAGACCCCCGGCCAAGCCCCCAGGCCCGCAGCCACCCTGCATGCTGGTGGAGTGGGACACAGAGATCTGGGGGCCTGAACCCCCAGTGCCTGCATAGACGCTGGCCATGCTGCTGGCCAGCCAGGTCTGGTGGCTGGGTGACTGCATGTAGCCCAGGGTCAAATAGTTTGTGGAGAAGCTGGAGCAGGTATTGAAACTCATGTTGATCAGGGAAGGAGGCGAGAGGCCACAACTCAGGTTCAAGCAGCTCAGCTGACTTTCAGTGTAGAGATTTACTATCTCTACCTAAGTGTGCTGCTTTGAAAAAGGTTAAGTGAGAGGAGAAAAGCTCTTTTTCAAGCTTTTCTTTTTTTTTTTTTTACAATGATTTTAGTTGGGATGAAACATTTTCAGAAATCAAACATTTTCTATTGGCTCTCAAGACACTTTTTCCCTTCACAGGTATAAGTATTATTGCTATTGCGGTTAAGCTTCAGTATTGGTTAACCATACTTTTATTACTTACCTGAAACCCACACACCAACATATAATGTTTCTATGTGCTTCAGATAAAAATGCGTTCTAACACTGGTAATAAGGGTCAACACAAAGAATTCGTGATGAGTGTGCCAAGTGTGCACGGTGAGTCTGGGGACACCGTTCATGTGGTAGTTTGCATAAACAGCGCCCCGTGATGCTTGTGTAGCTTACATCCTACACAACTGTATAGGGCAGCGGAAAGTGACTGCCCAATATAGTAGAGGAAAGTGACTAAGCAAAAGAGAGAAAAAGTGAAGGGATTAAAAAAAAACAAAACAACAAAAACCTCACAGACACAGACAACAAACAGTATGGTGATTACCAGAGGGTAAGGGGACTGGAGGGAGGTAGAAAAGGGTAAAGAAAGGTGGGATAAGTGGTTATGGAAAGAAACTTGACTTTGGGTGGTGAACATACAATATAATATACAGATTATGTATTATAGAATTCTATATTTGAAACCTATATAATTTTATTAACCAATGTCACCCCAATAGATTCAACAAAAAAGAGAGAGAAAGAGAAGGAGGAGCAGGTGGAA